ATTTCAGCTTTGATTACCAATTATCCATTCAAACTTGTACTGTTACCCTTCAAACTTTGGTTAGGCTATGATTGCTAAATTTAACTTTGGTAACAGTTACCCAGGTTCAACAATAGACAAATAACCAAGGAATTACAGGAAACACTTAACATTTAAAACTAATTTTATTACAGCTCTAAATTCTCAACAAACATAACTCCAATCATTTCCAAATAAAAAAGTAACCCATCTTTAAAAGTATTGAAGAAAAAAAAACTACAATAAATTTCTATTTATTACAAACTTACCTTTTATAAATTCTGCCGTAAATCTCTATTTTCAGAACGATTTCAATCCAATCTTTATTTCAGATCATTCAAAATTAACTGCTTTAAATGATTTTGCAATTTTTTATTTTGATGAATAATTTCAGTTAAATTTTGATTACCTTTTATACAATGAGTTTTAAATAAATGATTTCATTCAATTCTACTCCTTTAAATGATTTTAATCAAATTTAACTTAAGTTATTTAAAAAAATTATTACTTGATATTTTCACCTTTTATACAATGAGTTTTAAATAAATTTAATAATCTGTCCTTTTCGTAAAATTTCCAAAAATTTAAAATAAAATATTTTTCTAAAAATTAAATACTGAATACAAGCAATTTATAATATTGGCTCATTTGAAACTGGCCTTTGCTTTAAGCAATGTGAAAAATATATATAAAAAAAAGTTATGATAGCTTTGAAAAAAGTAATAGTTTTATGCACAGAATTAATGGTTCCGAGTTTTGATTATCGTCTTGGTTACGCATTTATTAGGAATACAATTTCAAATATTTCTATTGAAGTCTATGTAAATATTAATAAACGCAACTTTCAATCGGCGTTGCTTTAAGATCAATTTTAAATTCGAACAAATATTTATTTCATAATTTATTATCTAAGACCAAATGTTAGTATTTTTTCATTTATTTACTTAAACTGTTAAGAAACATGATCCATTCTTAACAAATCAAATTAAAATATTAGGGATTATCATCTAAATAAATAATCTCAAATGTGAAATCGATATAATGTTAATCGAAATAATCTGAAAGCGGATAATATAATGGATGTAGTAATGTTATATTGAACTAAATGTGTAGTATGCAAATACCACTAAACATTGATTTAAATCTTATTGTGCTTTACCCTAAATAAATTTCATTCTCCTGATCACGTATTATGGCTTAAGTAGTTGGCCTAAAATAGGCTAAATAATTAGTTTTACCAATAATTTTAGTTAAGAAATCAGACTCTTTTGTGACATGTAACGAAAACAATACTTAGCATACCTATATTTTTTTCTACGGGTATTTATCTATATATTTTCGAACACTAAAATATAAGATAATTATATTCTGGAGAATATGCTCCTAATAGCGTGGCCAATAGCGTGGTCGAATGTTTGGACCCCTTAATGTAAATTTCACGTTTTGAGTAAATTTTACGTCGGAGTTACCCTTACAAGAAAGTAGGAGGTTTTTGAAGAAAAAAAAAACATCTGAAGTAAAAAATGAGGTTATGTTCTGCACCAACAATAACCTTATAATTAAATCTCAATTTTACTTTCATTTACACCTCATAAAATCATCGTCATGCATAACTCAGCAATACTTTTAGTTGAGATTGGGTAAAATTATTCACACCTCAAATATATTTATTCGCTTGAATTTCAGAAAAAATAGCTTGTTCACTTCAAAAATAACCTCTCTAAGCTAGCTGCTCTAAAATAGATTTAGGGGGTGCTATCCCCTCTGCAGAGGATCAAAATTGTGATGACATGTTTTCGGATCATAATCAGGGATGTTTCCCAGACCGTCGCCAATAGCCCATAGTGCAGCTCTAGTGCGACGTAAATGAACTACAACTAAAATAGATTTCTAACAACCTCAAGTGTAAATATAACAACTTCCTACACCTTCATTATACACCTTGAGAGATAGATCTTTGAAAGTTGTTTTTGAAGTCAACTTCAAATAAACTTTCAAAAAACCCTGACACCTCAAAACAACCTCAAATAAACTTCAAAGACACCGTAAATTTTTCATATAATTTATTCATATAAAAAAATTTTCATATAATTATTTCATATAAAAAGTAATTTGAAATAATTATTTATTGTGTTCAATATGCTATTTGAAATCAGTTTCTATTAAACATTTAAAATATTAGAATTTTATCATTGAAATAATTTTAAAAAAAATTTTAAGCTGCATTGTTATAGTGTCTAAGTTATCTTGGCACGTTTTTTTGTATGCAAAAATAAAATAAAAAGAAATCGGTGAATAGTTTCCGAATAATAAAATTACAAAAAATGGTATTTTAAACTTTTCATTCCTGCCTAAGTCTACAAATATTTCATTGTCAAACTGTGCTGCAGAGGTAAAAAATGCGGATGAGGGGGTAGAATTATTCACAAAGAGGAAGATAAGGATTTTCAGACACTGTTGATTAGTGATTTTGCAAAAAACTGTAGTTCGATTTCTCATCCCGTCCTTATATTCCCAAAGGTATTTTATGTTTTGGTCCTTCTATTTTAGAGACCTTTCTAATCCAAAATGCAAACCAAAAATTCAATGATTAATGATTTTAGAGCACCTTCACAATTATAAAATACTTGGAAATCACAATTCATTATTTTTTTTCTTCAATTTCTAAACCATCCAACTTTAAATGTTATCACTTCTTTATAGGATGTATGCTTATCTTATCAGTGAACTCAAACTTTTTCGAATTAATTTGTCTCTGTTTGCTTTTCGTGTTATTTCATTTAATAAAGGTTTGCTTGGTGCCACAGAAACGCTTAGTAGTTTTTATTAAGTTTTACTATTTCTGATTTTTAAACTTTGTTTCCACTAGATCGCTCTTATGCAGCTCTTAGAGTTTTGTTTTATTGTTTTTATTGTATTGTTTTCACTCGATCTTAATTTTATCACTTAAGATCCCTCTTGGATTGCTCTTACATTTTTACTATGTTGTATAACCGGCATGGAACTGCTGACCCGTTTTTTGGGTTTAAGACTGTCATTGCTCAACACCATAGACGAAAACATACTTTAGTTAGGGATGTTCGCCCATAATATCGGCCTCATTTCAATAAATCTTGCCTAAAGGTACTAAATGAAATTTGTGGAAAGCCCCTACCATAGAGAGACTTCTTACCAAATTTACAAAAACTATTTAGAAAACTACTAGATTCGTTTTAAATTTTAAAGATATTCAAATTTAATTTAATTTTAAAGATATTCGAATCGAAATCTTTTACCAAAGTTACCAAATACGAGTCACGATAAAAGTATGAAAAAATGAATTTTAATAGTTTTCCGTGCATGCACAGTATGGAAGAACTATTTTCAATACAGTGAAACCCCCAGGAAAAACAACCTCTATATAGTGACCGCCCCTAATTACGACAACTTTTGGGAGGCATGTAACATAGTGTTAAAGAAAACCTCTAGCAGAGACCGGGCAAATATCTGCACAAAATGTGGAAAAGATCAAATAAGGAAACACGAAATAATATCGAAACAAAAAGTATTAACAAAACAAATAAGTAGATTAAAGTGTATTCAAATTATTTGTGTGAGACTTTTATTCAGAGAGTTTTTTCTGACGATAACAACCTCATGTTGCAGTTAGAGTGCACACTAAAGACGATACTATCAATGATTTACTTTTAATGAGTTGAAAGTTAAGTTAGGAGAGAAAAGTTATTTTAGAAAAATCAAACACAACTCTTCTCATATTTTAAAACTGACTAACTTTTATAATATAAAATTAAATGCAAACTTAAACAAAAAACATAATTGTTTTTATTTATTTAAAACAGCTTTACCATTACTAATTGGTAAATTTGCTTTTGCACGTAATTACGAGTAAATCAGTTAGGATCATTTTTATCGACGCTAAATTTTCTTCATTAATCCGTCTTTTCCTGGCGAAAACAGAAGTAGTATTTCTACACCAATAAAATGACACTCACTAAAATTAAAAGCGTTTATTTGTACTTTCGATAACAATTTTAAAGTCAATAGGAGATAAGAATCTCCATCGACAAACATTTTACTGTGGAACGCCCGAAAGATATCACTGTACTCATATCTTGCGCAATTTCTAATGAATTTTTTCGAATTTTAAAAGTATATTTTTTTATTAATTATAAATTGCTCCGAAAAGTTTGTTAAATTTTGTTGAATATTTTCACAGTTATAAAAAGAAAACGTAAGGCAAAATATTTTTTTTCTTTCTTCATGAAAATAAACATATGTCCATCTTAACTTCCGGAATTTTATGCAATTATTTCATATTATTTCCAAAGAAATCGATACACACGCTACCAGCTTATTGCTATAGTTTCTGATATAGGGTGTGTAAAAAACTCACTTTCTTTCTTTGCTTATTGCTAGAAATTTGAAAAATGTCAAAAACAGAGGCTGTCGCTTTACCGAGAGGTCACAACCGTTTTCACGTATTCGTCATCATTGTAGTGATTGTTGTCAAAATGATGTTTGAAATATCGGAAAAGATGAAAATAACTCAGCGCAAGTTCTGGGCTGTAGGGAAGGATGGTCCAAATCTTCAGTATCAAAAGAGTCCAATAAAGCTGAGCTGCGGAGAGAGTCGTTGTCAAAGAGCACCTACTTCACAAATCTGCTAGAGAATGTATGCAGCAGGCAAATTTTTTTTTGCCGAAAAGAGCTTCACTGACCGTATCTCGTGAGTGGACATTTTAGAGACACAGAACTGGCCGTACAGCTTTCCTACTTAGCTGCAACTGAGCGCAGTTGGTCCTAAGGAATGCGGGGACACGACACAAGCACTCGTTGTGACGGACTCGGCACCTATTCGTGGACACAACGAAACGACCCTTACTTAAAAAACACCCGTCGTATTTAGTCATATATTTATACTCTATTCTCGTGATTTGCGTTTTACATAAGAATAAATACTCAAATATATAATCGATTGTATATCCTATATCACTCAATAAACTTTATTTAGAAAGAGAACTATGAGCTTAACATAATACGAGAATATTTTTTGCGAAAAATAATACATGGTTGAACATGTTTTTTTACTGATCTTTAAAACTGTTATTTTAAATGTCGCGACATTTCAGTATAAAATTACAAACTAATTCTGTAAATGTTTCTGGATATTCAATGTGTATTGTATGGGTGGCACCTTCTGCAGGTTCATAGACAGTCTTTGGAAACCATCTGACGAACTCTTCTTTTCCGCTCAACCTGTAGGAGAAAAATTTCACTGTAAAAACTCACCCAAATAGTAGTTTCCTTGGTCTGATCCAAGCAAATATTTTCAAGTTGAAGAAACTACTTTGTCGGAAGCCTTATGGTACGATGCATTAAATAACAAATTATGTGACTTTGTTTTCACAGAGCACAGAATATACAGTGCGAAAATAAATTTACGGACCACCCTGAATAACTTTTGAACTAATGATGGGATCTTCATGTGCTTGGACTCAATCTTAATGGTTTGAAGAAGTAGCCTCAATTATGCTAATTAATTTGGTTACGAAATCAGACACTAAAACGTACTTTCTCTGAATAAGCATATATTTTTTAAATTAATTAGCATAGATTAAATCATTATCATCATATAAATAATCATAGATTAAATCATTAGCATGTGTGAGGTTCCACCCTCAAACCATCAAGACTGAGTTCCAGAGCGTTAGATCAAAAGTTATTCATGGTGGTCCATTTGTATTTTTGAGCACTATACTTGGTGAGGATACTTCTTGTGTTAACAGCAAAACGCTCGGCAAAAATTATCAATAGAAGTAATCATAGAGATTCATAAACATTTAACTGCCATGCTAACTGATGCTGCATGTACAGTGAGCAAACTCTTTCGTTCGAATGGATCGGATTTTCACGATTAGTAATTAAGTTATGAAATCGGACAGAAAAACATACTTTCTCTGAATAAACATATAATAGTTTTTTGCATATTAGAATTCTTAACTTTCAAAATATAGTGGGAGGGGTGTACCGACAATCTGGGAAATAGGGTCCACAGTTTCGACGTCATAATGTTAGTTTTATTTAATACGTATTTCGCCATATCTCGAAAAATTTTAAAGCAAATTAAAATAAATTTTGCACACAATTTTAAAATTTATTTATCCAAAAATATTTCCTTGCAAAAAATTTTAGTCAATGTTCATTATTTTTTATTAATTTACTCAATAACAGTCCAAAAAAATTTGAATTGAAAATTATACAATTTTTAACATAATTTTAAAAAAATGTAATTTTACATGGCAAAATGCAAAGTTTCAGCGAATTCGGAGGAATAGTTCTTTAGAAATCGTATTTTAAGAATACGCCATTTTAAAATACGCCTGTTACTAAATATAATAATAAAAAAATGATTAATATTTACTAAAAGTTATATTTCATACGGAGTTTTCGTTGAATAAACGAATTTTATAATTGAAATTATGGTAAAATACGCAATAAGTAAAATTAACATTAAGGAGTCCAAACTTTGAATCGCTCTCCTGACCAAACTATAAGGACCTTATTTCCCAGACCCTTGTATTTCGGGGATTAAAAATTTTAATCCGTTGAAAAAAAGGCATGTTTATCCAGAGAAAGTGCGTTTTTATGCTTGATTTTGTATTTTAAATTAACGTTTACACTAATTAGCTTATTAATTATTATATGTGAGGTCAGCCATTCGAACGATTTACATTGAGTTGTTGTTCGTAAAGATCCCATCATTTGATCAAAAGTTAATCAGTGTGTTGCGTTTATTTTTCGCACCCGGTACTCCCACTATGCGCAGAAACGAATCACTTTTGACCTAATGATTTGATTTTAACGGAATCAATGTTAATGGTTCGAGGGCCTAACTTTAAATATGCTAATTAATTAGTATAGACGGTATTTTACGCTATGAAACAGAAACGTTTTTTTTTTCTCTTCGAATAAACATACCTCGTGAAATTTAGATTCCTCAAAAAATGAAGGGGGTAGCCGCAATCTGGAAATATGCTCTTAATAGTTAAGAAAAGAGAACTTGAACTCTTCAATATTAATTTTATATTCTTAGTGTATTTTATCAATTACGTGAGCTTTTTAAACAAATCGAAATCTTTTTTCGCGCAGTTAGGAAATTCTTTTATCCAAGATATCTATCCTGCAAAACATTATTTTCTATAATTATTTACTATTTCCTGTTATTTGATACGAAATATTCTGAAAAATGGTATTTGATGTGATATATTATTTAATTTTCTGTTGTTTGATATAAAATGGTCAGAAAAATTTTTAATAATAAGGTTAGTTAATTATACATCGTTTTAAAGAATTTTATTTTAAATTTCAGCTGAAAATCTTGAACGCAATCGGTCGAAAAGCTCTTGTGAATTCAAATAATTGATTTTATTAATGTCCGATAACTTAGAATCTATTTGAGTGATTTCTCTGTATACTTTACAATTTAAATTTGTTACGAAAAATATTATTTCTTTTCTATTGAGGAAGTATGAGATCAAAAGTCATTCAGGATGCTCCTGCACATTTTTTCCCTTCGTATTTCCATAATTTATCCAAAATGTATTATTTTCATAATTTCCATAATTTATCCAAATGTACATCTAAATGAACAAGATAATCAAGACATTCATTTTTTCTTTCATGTAAATTATTGCAATTTTTTTGTGTGTTTCTCTCGTTGCTTCTGTGTTTCGTCACTGAAAAAGATTTTTCATGACAGAACTATAGTTTATCTGCTAATAGGGCGTTAAAAACTTCCCGCTGCAGTCCTTGCCAAGAAAAAGATGTCTTAACAATCTTCTGCATAATTATGGCTATCAGGTAAGCATTACGCAAAAAGCTGTCTTTATTTTCTTAAAAAGCCGGTACCCATCGAGCTGAAGCTGGGTGGGCTTTAAGCTTAAGTTGAATCCCAGTCCTTATACACACAAGCATGGCCATTTCTCAGGGCTCTCTCTCTCTCTTAACGGTCATAGTAGAATCGCCATGTAGTTTTGATCCTCGTCATAACGCCTCTCCGAATTTCCACACCGCAACCTGTGAAAAGATTCTCAACCACTACATATTCAGCTCCCACCTTGTTGCGCACACACGCATGCATGTATTTTTTCTCTAAGGTTGGCAGAAGTGAACTCACAAATCCCTTATAAAAGAGATCAATTTTGTCAAATTTACGTAGCAAAATAATGGCAAAAAAATGGCCATTTTTATGTTAAAAATTTCCCAAATTTTAACATTTATTTAATGTATTCGAGACTACCCATTGAAACCAAAATAAAACGTTTGATAGAAACCTTAAAATGCTTCTGCGGCATTTTAACGTTATTTTCACGTAATAAATACTTATCTCAGTTGCACCCCACTAGCGGTTTGAGTGACCCGAGAACTTTGTCACTGTTACGGCTCAGGAAAGCATGTCGGTTTGCCAATGTGACATTATTTATGCTCTTTTCTTGATGTTTAATTTTAAAAATATTTAAAATATGACTTTTTTTTAAAAAAATCTTACACATTGAGTATAGAGTGTGTTCCGTAGATGACCAAAACAGGACCATCGTAGATTGTTTCTGGATCTTTTCCTATTTCTTCTAGAACTTCGGATGGCGTGAATTCTTTTCTAGTTATGAACCCATGAATGGCTTCCAAGTTTGTCTTCCATTCATAACCTCCTTCGGGTTTCAATTTGAGTGGGAGATCTCGCCCATCCCACTCATGGAGTGGAGTGAGAGCCTTAGTTCGATCTACCTGCAACAACGTCAGATAAAGAAATTATTATTTTGGCAAATGATAATATACGCAGAGTTATTTGTAATGACCGTCTTTAATATAGATATTAAAAGTTTTTGTTAAGCAAATTATTAAAGAAAACTACCGTAAAAATTAAGAGGGTAAAGCTATTAAAGTCTTAAAAATACAGGTCTGTCCGTAAATTTTTTCGATGGAAATATATAACCACTTACCGTATAAACCACTTACAGTATAAACCACTTACAGTATAAGCCACTTACCGTAAATTAATATGTTCGTAAAATATATCTTTAGTTTGAATCTTGGTGTCACTTGAGATTCGAGCGATTTGTTTGTAGCTATATATTCTGTTTATATTCTTTTAGGACGGGCTGGGATTGAACTCGGAATCTTTTTCCGTAACCACCCTAGAAAATGGTGCTCTAAGCATGTGTGAATTAAGAAGTTCGCTTTCACAAGAAATTCTTTCACAAAGCAAGACCTTGTAAATTAAAGGTCATTTCTCTGTATTTTAAGAAGCACGATAACATGGTTTATCATAGCACCATAAAAAATGCTAGCCGAAACTAGCAGAATATGGTGTATTTTCTGGCTCTTTGGAAATAATCAAACATGGTATTATTACAATATTGTTTGGTAATAAATGAGGTAAAATTCGGTAAATATCCCAAAAGAGTTGGTAATTTTAACAGTACTAGTACATTTTGAGATAACGCAAAAGTTCCTCTTCATTATTTAGTAAGCGGTAGCTAACTTTGTTTTTTGTTAGTAAGTTGTTTTCATTTCTATGTAAGCTATAAGCTAACTACTACTAGCTCTTAAAACTATATATTTATTTATTTATTGACAAAACATACATTTTCAGGCTTGTGAATTTAATTAAGGCTCATAAACCTTTGTCTAGTGGAAGGACAAATAGCACAAGGTCAGCACAGAGATTCATCCTGGGGAACAGCGGTATTTAAACCTCCATGTTTCACCTGGTGATGCAGCTAGGTTGGCAAGGCCTCTTTAAAACTGTAGAAGACACATATTTATGAATAAATATGAAGCTTGAGTAGTGTTGATCCGAAAAAGTAACTTAAATGTTGCGCATCAGTCTAAAATGAAAGAGTTGAGGTAGTAGGTTAAAATCCCACCACAACAACGGATACATTTATTTATATTTATTCATTTATGCTTATTTATTTACGTTTATTTATATTTATTTATTTATAGATATCTACGGATTTATTTATAGTTACACATACATACGCAGGCTTGTTTGCTTCTTTCAATGTTCAACTTATAAACCCTTATGTCGAAGAACAGATATCACAAGATTAAAAGCTCATCACATAGAGATACGGAGGAATTCGAACTCGCTTTACTTCGACGCTACAATCGCTGCATCTTTGTAGTTTCCTTCTCTGACTTGTGCGAACTGTTCTTCAACTGGGCGAAAGCTTATAATAAATCATACTTTGTAAAGAGTGTGCAAGCCTGTATATGTATCTGTAGCACAATAAATACTTGGAGTAGTAATGTTTATATTTTTTTTTAATTATTCGTGTTAGAGTTACCATCATGGCTGAGAAGTCGCATTTTTCCACCTAACACTATATAAAATAGGAGTTTGAGTTCCACCGTAACCCTATATTTGCAACAATAAACGAATTTGGTTAAACACATGTGCAGGCTCGTATGTTTGATGCAAATAATGTCTCTTTTTAAATGGAACAACAAATTACGTAAAAATAAGCAAGACTCCACAGATATAGGAGATCGAAATGGCTTATAGGTGACGTAGATCAGAACTCTCAACCTATGGCAACACTTCGCATGCTTTCCCTATTAGCGTGTGGAGAGTCATAAGAGAAGGAAGTAAGCTAGTATCTGTCATAAAAATTAAAAACTTTTAAGTTAGGACACTATAGAGAGCTGAAAACTACATTGATCATAGTTCCAATAGAACGCGCCGTAGAATTTTAAAAAAAATATTTGTGACAATTAAATACGAAAAATATTACGAAAGGAGAAAATATTGTAGTACATTCCTATACAACTCAGAAGAAGAAGGAAATAGGAAGGGTCATGCCATCGTACCGATCTTCCCCCTAGATGGCGCAGTCGAGCGTTGCGATCGCGAATTGTTTGGTGGGAAGACAATATCCCTCAGCAACTGAGGCCCCGAACATTTTTGATTATTTACTTGCAATTAATTCTAGAGGCCATGCTAGCCGTGAGCTATTCCTTGTTTCTTTTACCCCCTCTGAAGCACCCTCGTGCTCCTTAGAATTCGAACGAGCTAATAACTTTACCATCACTCATCAGCAAATAAAATCCTGCTCTGCTCCTCAACGGGGTACGAGGGTAAAACACCAGTCCATAGATGGTTGACGCAAACAGAGGAAGCGGTAGACCGAAGTCATTGACTTAAAGAGCTTATTGTGAAGGAACGTTACTATTATGAAAAATGCGTAAAACAGACACCATAGCTTGATCTATCTGTGCCGTGTAAGTATCTTTAAAACGCTTGAAAGCTTTAGTTAGACCAATTTTTTCTTTTTTATAATTGAAAAACATTTTGGAAAAATAGGTGAACTCTTATAACATTTTAAATAAACCACCATTTTAGATAAACCATAAAAGTATAAACAGCCTCTTACTACTCTATTTGGATAAAGGCGGGGACATCAAAAGGTTATCAAATAAATGCATTTATGCGTTATTTCACCATGGTGAAATAAATGATAACTCTGAAGAACATTTGAGAAAATACGTGAACTCTTATAACAATTCAAGTAAACCACCATTTTAGATAAACCATAGAAGTGTAAACAGTCTAATACTACTCTATCTGGATAAAGGCAGGGACATCAAAAGGTAAACTTTATCAAATAAATGGTAAAATAAATTATAGTTCTGAAAAACATTTTGATAATTTTGACACAATACTTTTGAATACGGCATAAAAACCATTTATTTGGTTACATTCAATGTTCAATTTTGTATTTATAATTAGAGTATAGTAACAAAGACTAAAATTTTGAAAATCAGAATTTCTGGTAAACTATTTTCATAACGAATGGGAAAAAATATCAAACGAATGGTTTAAATACCGTCCACTGCTATTGAGATCAATAAGAGAACAACAAGAATTAAAATAATTTTTCCCCAGCCAGTTCTTAGAATAAGAAGAAGGCAACCAGTCAAATAAACTGGTTTTTAATGATTTCAGTCCCTCATATGCTCATCTTTATTCGCGATCGTAACGCTCGAGTACGACCTCTAGCGGGAGCCTGTAAATATCAGACATTAATTTATCACGTTTTCATTCAGTTCCATCAGAATCACTGGCAGAGTCGGTCGCCATTTTCTTTGCACGAAATAAGAAGCAAAATTTCCTTAAGGAAAAAGTCGAAAAACTTGAAAAAACTCTCCAGAACATTGTTAAATCTTTCAGAAACAGAACACGCCTAACATTTGAAGAAAATTCCTCAATAATTTTCAACTTTTATTATCAACAAACTTGCAACTGATAACTTCCGATTTCGCTATCGCATACTGTTACAGATGTGTGTATTAAGGTAAAATGCATTTCTTCTGTCTTCAATTCATTACAAATTAAACTGAAGTCAACATTGCTTTCGTCATTCCAGTGAATAAATATGAATTCAGAACATACAGAATTGTAATAGTTATAGCATATTCTTCTTCGTTATAGAATAGTATATATTTCTGTATCCATATAATTCGGAAAACAACAATAAAAAATTATCCAAGTTACTTGAAATAGTGCCATTTGTGCTGATTCTTAATTAATTTAAATCGTTTTCTTGGTAAGTTTTTTTTAATTTTGAAAGAATAAGTTCAACTAGAATTCAGCTATTCTGTTTTTAGCTACATATTCAAATTCATATCAATTATAAAATTTTGCTGTGTAGTATGTTATCTAAAAGTAATGAAGGTATAAACTATGTATCTATTATTTGAGAATAAAGTTTTCAAACAAGGAACTTATCATTTTGGAATTCTCCGGGAATCATAAATCAGGTAAGTGCAATGATTTTTACAATAAAAAATTTGCTTGTAAATATTTTTTTTTCATTTGATGATGGTTCTCTACAGAATGGTTTTTTACGTCTGATTAAGAACTATAAGAATAATAAAAAAAGAAACAATATGAAAGTTTTTATTTCAATGTTAATAATTCTTAAAATCGTTTTTTTTATCCTAAGAATTCTTTATTTTCCGTTTTTTAGTTTATAATTTTTTGATAAAAATTGTTCTCAAAATACTTTTGAAAAATTAAATGGTATAACATTATGTGTTTATGTATACTTCTTGTATATTCCAATGTTTGAAATAATATGATTCAGAAAAGTATGGAATAAAAATTCGGTACTTACGACGTATTAACGCCACCGCCGCTACAGATTTGGCGGTTTTTAAGTGCCGCCAATCTACACTTAAAATTTTTGCGACAGTTCATAAAATAAAACACTTTATTTAAAATCAAAATAGTTAATTGGATTTCGGTGGAAAATGAGCCGATATAGAGTTTAGCATAGATTCAAAACAATCATATCGCCATATGAACTCTGATGAATAAGATTCCAAATGAAATAACATTTCCAAAACGTACGTTTGCCAAGATAAAGTTTTATGTTGTGGGAATTGGTACATTTTCGTTTTTTCGGTAAAATATTTCCCTCCTGAAAAAATAAAATTGCATCTTGTTTTGTTTTTGGCAAATCCCAAAGACGAATATTCGTAGCACTAAAAATGGCGACAAAAAAGAATTGTTTTTTTGTTTTTGTTTCGTCAGCATTCTTTATTTTACGTTTCTTAGTTTCTAAATAATGATTTTTATTGAAACTTGAAATTTTTTGATAAAAATTGTTGTCAAAAAACGTTGTTTACAAAATTAAATTTCATAAAATTATGAGGCTTATGTATACTTTTTGTTCATTTTAATTTTTGAACTAATATGATTCTTAAAACTATAGAATGTAAAGTTTAAATGGGCCTTTCATGTTATATCATTAAATTTAGTAATACTATTTCTCGGGCATTAGGTTTTAACTCTTATAAGAATATACATATTTTTTTCTGTTAATGTACAAATATTTTTCCGATGTGTTTTGGATATTCCTTCTCTAATAAAAAGAGATACCATTTTGTTTTCGGTTGTACAAGAAAGAAGATCAAGCATTTTTCTTTTTTAAATTTAATTAGCCATGATAAAAAAGGAACGTTGCAATGCTACGCGCTACATTAAAGACGACTCTAGAGTAAATTAATGACTGTTCATATAAAAATCGCAGGTATTAGTCTCATACAACAACGCCCCCTATAGTTCGTTGCGATCGCGAATATCAATATTAATTGGCCGTTGTTTCAAAAAATTTCTGATATTTTTCTTAGTTAAATGTTAATTTCGTACCCTTCATAGACATGGCTTCTTGTTTCCAGTGTATTTACAACGATTTGAAAGTATTAATTAAAAGAGTTACGGAACTTCCTTTATAAAATTATCCTCATTTCAGAGATAATATTATCCACGCTCTTTATTCCCTGAAATTGTTAAGAGATGATTTTTCCCAGAAAATTCGTGAAGGAATGAAAGACGAAATTACCCCTTTTGAATTCAAACATAATTATACACACATAAGTACAGTGTACAAAAAAATGAAACACTCTGAATAACTTTTGATCTAATGATTGGATTTTTTACGCACTGGAGCTCAATGGTTTCAGAGCCTCATCTTAAATATGCTAATGCTATTAGTGAAGACTATATTTTAAGTCACGAAGTCAGACACAAAGACAGACTTTGTCTTCGAAAAGATCTCGAAGTAAATCAGTCGAAAAGTTCTAGAGAAATCAAATTTTAAAAATCCGACTTTAAAATTTGAAAACTCATGAACTATTGAACCGATTGTCCTCAAATTTTGTATTTAGTCATTCAAAATTATATTCTTGAAAATGGTGCAAAAATGTGTATATATAATAATTTTTTCGACTATTATTTAGAAAAAAATAAATAACTATCAAAAATGATTTTTCCCCATAGAATTGTCTTTAGATAAACAAATTTTATAATTGTATACAAAAATCTTCGCTTTAAAAATTCCTGAAATATGATGAAATACATAAAAAGGTCAAATTAACAGAAAAGGTCCAAACTTACAACCGCGCTCCTGAACAAACCATTAAGACTCCAAAGTGAGACTAATTTGAGAGTCAGGTATCAAATCAGTCGGGGGGAAAAAGGTATATTTATTCAGTGAAAGCATGTTTCTGCGTCTGATTTCGTAACTTAAAATATCACTCATTAATAAGCATATTTGATGAGGTGAGGCCTTCAAACCGTTAAAATTGAGCATATAACTGGAAAATCTGATCATTAGACCGAAAGTTACTCAGAGTATCTTTCATTTAGTGACGCATTCATCAATAAATGTTTTACTTTTTGTTCTGTGGCTGTCAAGTGCCGGGCTGCTATTCTCTTAGCTTCCAGAAGATCTACATGCAGAGGAATTTTGTCCAAGACTTCTGTTAACAGCAGTAAATAGTGTCTACCTATTTCTTCGCAGACTTTTGGATCGACGAACATCATGTCCTCTATAATCATGGCATGTACTCTATCTGACTATGAAAATAATCGTAAAAAATTAAATATTTTAACTGATTTTAACCATTTCTCACAAATACTTGTCTTAATAAGTGGATGTTAGAATCAAATTTTCACACAGAGAAAATAAAGTATAGTCAGACCTGTAAGAGAAATAGTGTGGTTATCTCGATCGTGATGGGTTGGCATTTGTTTACGTTAGCAACCATTCTTTAAATTCTATTTCGAGAAAGCTTAGCCTATCAAGTATCAATTCTCTTAAGTGACACATTCTAAATTATTTCACAGAGGTACTTTCTCAAAAATTTTAATTCTTTTGCTATATATTTACACAGACATTTAACACGAAGACAAGCATGAAGCCATATGGAACATTAAAAAAAAATTAATTACGCATCGAAGTATCCAGGGACGCAAAATAAAAATATATCACTGTTACAATAAAATATATAAACAAATAACAAAGCTAAATTAAGCAAAATAAGTGGACTAGATATAATTATATTCCAACTCATTCGATGTGCGATACGGCTTTGTATTTAATTAACTTACTGTTAATTAACATTCTAACTTATGTAGAGAAACTTAGCTAAACTTTAATGCTCCATTTTGCTGATAAAGATTAGTTGGCACTGACGTCATAGGTCACATGTGTCTTCACCTTGAAGTGCAAGTAACCAATGGTATGCTTGCAATAAAGAAAAAACATGTTTCTTCAGTGTTTTTACCTGCGATGTCACGGAAACAGCATCTTTACAAAAATGTATAAATAAAATAAACAAACTTTTGAAATAAAATACGCAATTAAAGCTAATTACTAATTATGCGTATAGTTTAAAGCGCAATGTGTGTGTTTGAAAGTTTTAAACCGAGATTAAGAGTTTGCATTTAAGTGCAACTCACATGCCTGAGCGCAAAATACATGGCTGTCTTGCCGCCCATGCTGTGACCGATAATATTGGCAGTTTGAATTCCGATGGAGTCCATGAAACGAGCAACGTCATCCGCCATGACAACGTAGTCCATTTTCTCTGTCCATTCACTGTCTCCGTGATTTCTGGCATCCAAGGTATACACCTGAAGAAGTCATTAAACTCTCAAAACTTATGCTCAAAACAAAATCAGTATTTAAATTTAAAAAAGAAAAACTTTCACATTATCATATATTTATGAAGAGATATTTAAGTATCGAGATTTGTCGCGTCAACTACAATTGCCAAGGTGCCAAATAAATTTTAAATATACAAATTTTGTGGTTACGAGTTATACCATTCCAATTGGTTCCCTTTCTGTGATGGATTTTTTCTTTTTAGTGTCTTGTGGGCCTCTGTCAAGATTATTATGCACACTGTGATGCCAGAATTGGCATACACATATTTATTTTCTATCTTTTAAAATATCCTTCATTACTTAAGCTTATTTTTATTAATAGAATTACTTTTAAAATAAATCAAAAACTTAATCTTTTTAAGCGAACATAAAATATTTATTTCTTCTCTTCCAGATCAATGTAACGGATACTTTCTTTTTATTTCATTATTATGCAGACATATAAATTCACTGTCGCCTCTAATCGAAAACAAAAATCTATTTATAACTTTTTATTCTAATTTTCCAACGGCTAAATGTTTCGGTTGCATGGTTATAATAATTCACATAAATTTGTTGGCGACTCGTGATCGCCAAGGTGTTCTTTTTAACCCATGTGGACATGCTAGTTGGCTTTGTTTTTGGCTATGATATATTATGATAAATCGCCAAATTTTGGATCTCCTACCCATACTCTTTCTCTGTCCGTTGAGAATAAATATATTCACTTTTAATTTCAAATTGGTGGAGGCTGGGGGCCTTTGGGCCTCCCAGTCTTAATTTTCTAACGGTCAGAAATGTTCTGGCTTTATGATCTCTCAATAGAGAGTATTCTTATTTCATCCCTTTAAGGGGTTTCTTATTTTTTTGAAGAAATGGCCATTTCATAATTTACAAAATTATGCTTAATAAAATCTAAATTTACATTCAACGATTTGTACATCATTTCCTGGAAACGTTATTGTTTTTATTCATTCAATATTGGCCAAAATGAACATTCATAATTCCACTATACATTAACCACTATCAAATACGGCTAATGAAGGAAGCAGCAGACTTTCATCATTACACACACAGATTACGATACGGAACTCTCCCCATTTATGCATTGAAGTACTGATTATTAAGGAAACCATTTAAAGTACAAAATCTTTTCATGATAGGAAAATTCAAGAGGTGATTACATTTTAGTTAGAAGAGACCCTTGAGCTATAACAAATTTGGTCGCCGGTATTTGTAATATTATTTCATTTATGACAACTCCTAAAGTAACATGTATATAATATTGGTCGATACTTCCCTTTTTACTGCCCAAATAGAAAGTAAATAAAAGACAAAAAGTAAATAAGCAAGTAAATAATAATTGCGTTAAATATGCTAATTTATTCCTTAAATTATACGTAATTTTGAATTCATTTTATTTATGATAACAGAAGTATACAATTTAATTGAAATTAAAGTATAACACCAAAAATAGGGGAGATTTCCTTATCGTGATTTGTGGCAGAATAATCACATAGTGTTGGAGACTTCCGGGCAGCGGCCCGCGAGAAACTAAAAATAATAATAATAATAATAGTAATCATAAAAAATAAAATTAAAAAAGACATCGCAGGAAGGGACCAACTTAAAAGTTATAACTCGTAAACTCGTAGCCACCCCCGGGCAAACATCTACAGTTTAAAATCAGTTTGGCCCCTTGGCGATTGTAGTTGGTACAACTAATCACAATACGGAAATATCCCTCAAAAATACTATGCATTTTATTTAATCACTAAAAGTGTTTCATAGATTTTATTTATTAGTCAGACATATTATTGTACAAATCATTTGTTTTCTTAAACATTCCTATATAAAAATAAAAACAAAACTCCTTTAGAACCATATTTTTCATTCAAATATATATCCAGGAAGCATTTCAGAACAAGACATATATTTGGTTTAATAATTAAGATTAATAAAATATTTTTAATGTATGGAAATTTAATCGATATTTAAAGAGGACTAAAACAAAACCGAAATTTTTGTTAATTTTCCTTTTGGCAATAAAGTATCTCACCAAGGAAACATGCAAAAGTTTTGCAGCTATATTAGCTAAAAATAGAGTAAATATTGAAAGAATATCTTTATTTAGAAAAACTATTTTCTTCTTTAATCTGATTTCTTCATTTAAAAAATTTGCTGCACCAAATAATCAGCACATTCATTTATTGATTTATTGTTAGGCACTCTCGAAATATTAGGACTGAATTTACGTGATCATTAGATCAAAAAATATTCAGGGATTTCCTTTTTTTTGCTTACTGTACATTTACCTTTAGTTAAGGAGATCTGTTAATGTAAGTTTGTTTAAGTCTGTCTGATATTTTGAAACGTATACATTTGATATCATTCTAAGAGTTCAAGCATATGAGCGGTAAATAAAATTTATTATTATTCTTAATTTTCTTCGTTTTCTCTCTCTTTTCTGTTTTTCATTTTTATCTTTATTCAGCTATATATATATATATATATATATATATATATCTCAGACGTGCTGTTACGCTTT